TGTGTGTGTGTGTGTGTGTGCGTGTGCGTGCGTGTGCACTCGCGAGTATATGTGCATGTGTGTATGTATGTGTGTGTATGTGTATAGGGTTCCTTACTTAAACCGCCCACTCAGCATATTATAAACTGTTTTTTTTTCAAAAAGGAAGTAAATCAATACTAAGGCATTGACAAATAATCCTTCATGGTTAGGCTATACAATCTGGGTTAGCAGTCAGCTGCGATCTTTTAAGTGCACTGTTTTCAAAGGATTACGAAACCTTTACGGCTACTTTTGTAACTTTTTTTGTCCCCTTAAGAATACTTTTCTCCGTGGCATTTACAGAAAAACGTTGAATAAAGGGGCAAAAAATGTAAATTTACAGCTTGCAAGGACTCTCAAGCTTTGAAAGTCCCCAAACTTAGGCAGCCATTTTCTCTCTAATTTTACCTCTGAAGATAGGTAACCCCCACATTCTTCAGTCCAAAATATATCGACTTCTACTGAAGATAGATGGGTAATATTTCATCGAAAGCAAGACAAATGAACAAGCTTTAAGATGATACCAACAACTCCACATGCCCCCATATTGATGAGCGCCTGATTCCACCGAAATGAGGTTCAGCTAGTTATATTATAAGTCAGGAAAAAAACGTTCGTATTCACACCTGGCAATCAGAGGTACTTCAGGCTATGAAGAGGAACACCATTCTTCAATAATTTACCTGTACTTTTTGCTGTTGAGGCCAGAGAGGTGAGAGAGTAAGTCTGATTCCCCGTTTTGACTTCTCTGTTGACGTCCACCCCTTGGCGCTGGTATGACCGTATGCAGTTGAGAGCGCCGCAAAACCTTACTAAAACAAACATATTACCTGTACTATATTTTGAGAACGAAGGCAGCTATCAGATACTCGAAAGATATTGTTATAGTACTGGTTTTCCGAACAAGTCAAGAATAATGTTGACCTTTTAGGTGATGCGATAGCACATGAAGAATAATAATATGTGAAGCAGCGTGGTTGAATCAGGCTCTCGTCAATTTCGGGGCATGCAGAGTTATGGGTATCATCTTAAAGCTTGTTCATTTGCTTTATTTGGATGGAAAAAAATTCATTTATCTTCTATACAAGTCTAGATATTTGCGAAAGATGGAGTTGGGGGTCACCTGTTTTCAGAGGTAACATTTAGTGAAAAAATGACGGCCAAAGATTAGTTATTTCCTTAGCTTAAGAGTCCGTGGTAACTGAAAATTAACATTTTTTGTGCCTTTAATCAACGTTTTTCAAAAAAATCTATACAGAAATTAGTTCTTTAATGGGCATGAAAGGTGTTGTGCCAAAAAACAAAAATTTGATAAAAATTCACAAACCTGCGGAAAAAATGCAGGTTTCTTCACTTTGATTATTTTGACGAGAGCCTGATTCCACCACGCTGCCGACCATATGTATCTGATCAGTTAAGATTTTATACCATGCTAAAATACATAAGGCTTTCGTGACGTGTGGGTACTCCAAATGATGATGGTGATTATAACT